GTGAAAATGTGTGAAAATTAGTAATATTTTTTTGTCATCGGTTCATTAACAAGTGACGAAATTTTCTTAATTTCTACCCTTGATGTAAGTAAATAAGAATCTAAAAGGCAACTGAAATCTGTTGAGCGACTAGAGAAATTAGAGTTGAAAGGCATGGAAAAAAATTTGATTCTCTTGTGAAATTAACATTACTTTTCAAATCTTATATATACATACTCTTCCAAAAATCAAACAGATTTGTTTTTCAATATTAGACTGATGCCTAATATTATGACAGCATAACTTAATGAATGGTTAATAAATAAATCAGATGCAAAAATTAATGAATAAGTTTTGCCTACCTTAAATATTAATTTATAGCCTCTAATGTGCATACTTTTTTCAGGAAGTGCAATTTAATATAAAAATTAAGCTATTTGCTCTCTGTCAAACCAAAAGAATAAAAACAATTAAAATACTTTTAAGTACATACTTAAATAAAGTTTTACAAAAGAGAAATTAATCAATTTGTATTTTACTTTAGCAATTGTCAGACCATAAAAATATTAATATACTTTGATTGTTTAAAGCTTTAATTTTTAAAAATTTGATAAAATTGTCTATACAATTTGATATTTACTCTTTGACACATAAGGGATGCCTGTCCCCTATTATATATATTTTTTCACACTTTAATTACAAGTAAAAATAGGTGTTGGTATTTTTTAATAATAAAAAACAGTCTAATAGTTATTAAAGAAACCTGATAGATTATTTCAATTACATTTGTACAAAAATATAAAATCCAAAAAAAGTAGTTAGAAATTTTTTTTTCCCACTCATATTCAAAATTTTACAAATAGTTGATTTTGTGAAGAAATTTCAATGATGAATAACTGTTTTTCTTAGATGCAAATAAGAGCAAATTTGAAAAAAAATGATTGTTTAGAAGAGAGCCATGTTTTGAAAATTTAACCTTTAATGCAGAAAAAGACACCAGTGTTTCATGTTGAATTTCATAACCATAAGTAATCAAAATGCTAAATATAATATTTTTAATTTATTTTGACCTAAATTAATACAAAATAATGAAAAAGTATGAAAAATATGTTTGATAAAAATTCTGCATCAAAGGTTGAAAATTCACGAGTGCAAAATCCGTTTTCCCGATTATTTCGGAACTCATCTTGAAAAATAGAGTTGGAAAGAAATTTCAAATGAAGAGATAAAAACCTATAAGTCCATGTTGAAGAAAATTTCAAAACTTATGTAAAAAAAAAAAAAATTTATACTTTAACAAGTATAAAACTTGCTAAAATGCAAATTATAGTAAAAAAAAAAATTTCAGTTAGATAAAAAACAATAGTAGACCATAGAAGAGATCTTTTTAAAAAAAACTAAATTTCACTTATTTTTATGAAGATGGCTGGTTCTGATGCCTAAAATTTCACATTATCAATGCTCAATAACAAATATTTGTATTTGCACTAAATCATACCTCTCAAACAAACTAAAGCAAACCAATGTATAAAACAAATTACTCTCAACTCATTAATTAAAATTAAATATTTCCATTAATACAAGGGGTATAAAAACAATGGAAAAAGTCAAATGTCATGAGAAAACACATCAGGTCTAAAATTTAAGACTATTGAAGTAAAATGTTTTCAAAAGATACATTCACCTATCTAACGACATAAACCCATGCATGGCAACATGTTTGCTTTATTTACTTGCAACAAAAATAAAAGTTTCTATTTTTACTTGTCCTTCGTTACTTTTAAATTTAGTACTTTTACTTGTTTTTGTTATGTTACTTTTTGAGGGAAAATGTACAAGTATTTATGACGAAAACTCTGAAAAAAATCATTACTAAAAAAAAAAAGAAAAAAGAAGAAATTTCAAAATTTTTAAAATAGATATTTTGTTTTCAATTTATGAATTTAATGTATTTATAAATTTAATTATATTTATGCATATATTAATTATATTTAATTATATTTATTTTAATTATATTTATATTATTACAACATATTTATGAATTTAATTTAATATATCTTATAATAGTTAACTTCTTTTTCAAGAAACACCTNTGTTAATATTTTTATCAGAAATTAAATTTAAAATTGATTTTCTGAATTCTATATTTCAGTATTCTGAAATAAAAAACACGAATTTGTAAAAAAAAAAATTTTATTTCAGAAACAATTTTTTTCTTTTTTTAAATCAGCAGTGGGGACAAGTGAGGGAATGACATATTGGTATATTTTAATTACCTAAAATAAATAAAAAATAAAAATTGATAATTTTATTTTTATTCTTTTGTTAGCTTGCATTCTGAAGGACACTTTCCGTGAATTTTTTTTTTCGTAAGCTGTAAAACAAACATAAAATATACTGGGGACATGAAAATGACTGTTTTTGTGAGAATGACCCATATATATACTCTTCCAAAATTCAAACAGATTTTTTTTTTCAATCCTAGACTGATTTCTTAGATTATGACAGCATAATTTAATGAATTATTAATAAATAAATCAGAGGTAAAAATTACTGAATTAAGCACCACAGAATATTTGATAAGTTTTGCCCTGCTTAAATATTAATTTATTGTCTCTCATGTGCATACTTTTCCAGGAAATGCAATTAAATATAAAAAAATGCAGCTATTTGTTTTCAGGCAAACATGAATATAACCAATTAAAATGCGTTTAAGTACATACTTAAATAAAGTTTCACTAAAGAGAAATTAATCAATTCGTATTTTATTTTAACAATTGTCAGGCCATAAAAATATTAATACTTTGACTGTGTATAAGTTCAAGTTCTTAAAAATTTGATAAAATTATTAATACAATTTGATATTTACTCTTTAACACAGATGGGATGCCAGTGCCCTATTATATATATTTTCTGACACTTTAATTATGAGCAAAAATACGTGTTGGTATATTTTAATAATGAAAAATAATCTAACAGTTATTAAAGAAACCTGTTAGATTATTGGAATTATATTTCAACAAAAATATAAAATCCAAAAAAGTAGTTAGAAATTTTTTTTTCACTCATATTCAAAATTTTACCAATAGTTGATTTCATAAAGAAATTTCAATGATTAATAATTGTTTTTCTTAGATGCAAATAAGAGCAAATTTGGAAAAAAATTGATTGTTTGGAAATGAGCCTCGTTTTGAAGATTTAGCCTTTCATGCAGAAAAAGATACTGGTGTTTCATGTTGTATTTCATAACCATAAGTTATTAAAATGTTAAAGATCATATTTTTAATTTATTTTGACCTAAATTAATACAAAATAAGGAAAAAGTATGAAAAATATGTTTAATACAAATTCTGCATGAAAGGTTAAAAATTCACTAGTGCAAAATCTGTTTTCCAGATTATTTCAGTATTTATCTTGAAGAATAGAGTTGGAAAGAAATTTCAAATTAAGAGATAAAAACCTATAAGTCCATGTTGAAGAAAATTTCAAAACTTATGTGAAAAAAAAGAAGAAAAAAGTTTTTCCAGCAAGATTTGTACTTTAACAAGTACAAATCTTGCTGGAAATGCAAATTATAGTAAAAATAATTTTTCCGTAAGGTGAAAAACAATAGTAGAGCATAGAAAATATTTTTTTTAAAGAATAAATTTCACTTATTTTTATGAAGATGGCTGGTTATAATGCCTAAAACTTCACATATTCAATGCTCAATATCAATTATTTGTATTTGCACTAAATCAAACCTCTCAAACAAACTAAAGCAAACCAATGTATAAAACAAATTACTCTCACGTCATTAATTAAAATTAAATATTTCCAATAATACAAGGGGTCTAAAAATAATGGAAAAGGTCAAATATCATGGAAGTACATATCAGGTCTAAAATTTAAGATTATTGAAATAAAATATTTTCAAAAGATACATTCACCTATCTAACGACATAAACCTATGCAAGACAGCATTTTTGCTTCATTTACTTGCAACAAAAATAAAAGTAAGAAGTTTCTATTTTTACTTGTCCTTTGTTACTTTTTAAATTTAGTACTTTTACTTGTTTTTGTTATGTTACTTTTTGAGGGAAAATGTATAAGTATTAACAACGAAAACTCTAAAAAAAATTATTTCTAAAGGGGGGGAAAAAGAAGAAATGTCAAAATTTTTGAAATAAATATTTGTTTTCAATTTATGAATTTAATGTATTTACGAATTTAATTTAACATATTTATGAATTTAATTTAATATATCTTATAATTAACTTCTTTTTCAAGAAACGCCTTTGAGGACATCAATTTCCTGAAAAAGGGCAGCTCATTTGAAAACTTAATACCTGAAAAAGTCATCAAGCGTTTTTTTTTTTTCTTTTTTTCTTTCAGAACAAGTAACATCTAAAGGATTGCCACTCAAATCTGGAAGAAAAAAAAGTATTCCCTGTGTTTTTTCTGTACATATTATACATCATATATATTTAGAGGAAACACAACAATTACTGCCCCCTTGTGTGAATTATAGATATGGCTGGGTATATTTAAATAAATAATGCTATAGTAAATTAAATAGTTTAGTATAGCTAAAATATCCTTTTTAAATATCCAATAGATTATGCTTTGACTGGTCACTATCTTTTAAAAGACAAAAATATGAAACAAAATTCTCTGTATTTTTCTAGTTTGTAAAGAAAAAATCTAAATTCCCCGCATTTTACCTGCTAATTTAGGTGATTTTAAAATTCCCTGTATTTTCCAGGTTTTTCCCTATTCTTCCTGTATTAGTCACAACCCTGATTTATTTTCTACAAATCACCTGTGATTTGCTACATAAATACCTGAGGTGTTGAAACCAATTTCATTTTCCTGTTATGATTGCAGAGCTATCTGGGCAACAAAATATGTAACCTGGGATGCTTTTTCTGAGTTATTGGGGTTCCTACCTAAATTTTGAAGGCTTTGCATCAAATTTGCTATCACTGAATGCATCTTTCACACTTTTTGGACACCCTGTACACCTCTACTGCAATAGATTATAGTCACACAAAAAAAAACTTTAATCTTGTGTGAGGTAAATGGAATCATTATAATGGGTATTAAATGTAATTTCAATTCAGCAGATCAGTTTGGTTTGCTGAATAAATGCACGCAGGAACTTGGAACACGCTACAGTATTAGAGTCTGTCAAAACTATCAACTGGTTGGGTCATCACTGTCAGGAAGTTCTGAGCAATCAGCAGCAAGATCACAGTCACCACAGTCATGTTTATGTGCAAGCCAATCTTTACGCTGGCAAAATGTACTACAATAACTGACTCGATGACAGCCAGTACATTCGGAGAAAGCCTCTCGATCACAGTTGGCACAGTGCTAGGAAAAGATTTTTTTAAAAAAATCTATATGAAATTTGATAAAACGCACATTTTATGCAAAATGAACAATTACAAACAGAAATATACGTTGCATGAGTAAGTTTTCTTCCAGATAAACAGTCTTTAAAATTTTTAGTACTATAAATAGTTGAAAAACTAGAACAAGTGAAGAACAGAACAATTAAAACACATAACACTTATACTCTGTTACAAATTAAGGAAAAACCATTGCTTGTTTGCATCTAAGTGTGCGACAAATGAATGCTAAGCACCCATCGTGAATGTATATCAACATCTTTGATGTCATCAACAATAACGTTGCACAACTTTCCTTTTGCTTGCTTTCTTAAATCGTGTTAAATTAGAAAAACAAAACTTATTGAATAAGCAATTAAAAAGCAATAAGAATTAATAAAAATGATATCTAAAAATCCAAACAAATATACACCTTTCTGTTCGCATTTAAAAAAAAGCCGTTGAAAGAATAGTAAATATTGTTTCTTGCAGACGATTTTCTTTTACAGTGAAACAAAAGCGAAAATGTTTCTAGCATTTGATTGTTTAATTCTAGTAAGACTACGAAATGAAAACCTTGTTTTAATAATTCTATTATATATATTTTAAAAGATGGCACGAATTCAATTTCTGTCCGATGAGTTTAACTTTTAAAAGTTATTATATTGTTTTGAAAGCAGAATTGTATAATTTGGTAGCAAAATATAACAGAACGATAAGCATTCGTGGATGATTACTTAAACCCGTTACCGCAATGGTTTTTTCTTAACTTGCAATGGAGTATTTTACAAAACATTTCGTGAAAAATCAACAAAAAATTCGACAAAAATTTGGCAAATATTGTTTAAAAGTTCTTTAAAAAAAGCTGACAGGGAAACTTTTTTACAAAAGAAGATTTTTCTGTTCATATTATAATTTAAAAATACCAGAAATAATATATACACAATTATAAGCATCTTTCTCATAAAGCATGCTTCAAATGCGTTATATACACTCTGGCTTATGAAACACAGAATTATTTCATTTTTTTAGATTTGGCAAGAAAATTAAATTCAAAAATTAGTAAGATTGATTCTTTTAAAAAAAAAACTCTATGCATCTAGAATATTCAAATATTTTATTCTGAGGAAGTTTCTAGAATTATCTTGTAACATCTGTGATTGCATAAAAAGAAATAAGTGAAGTCTTTAATTAGTTAGCTAAAGTACACTGAAAGTATCCTCCTAGTACACTGAAAATTAGTACTAATTCAGTTAAAATTTTAAAAGTAGTACTACACATGTTAAGAATGTTAGATCGTGGCTAAATTCATGATTTTCTAGTGTGATTGAGTTTTGACTTGTCTTGAATTCTTGAGAGCTAATAGGGCTATTTTAATATATTTACATTGTGTGTGTCACAAATTTATGAAAAAGTTGTTTCTGCATTTTTGCTCCCTGCCCATCTTCAAATAAATAAAGTTTGTCTATATCTTGGGGCCTCCAGAGTGGAAAAGTATGTCCCACCAAAGCTTTGAGGTAAAAGTGCAACCTTTCATAAGTCATATCTTTGTTAATTTTCCTAGAAGAATTGTTGTGACACTATTTCCTGATAACAGAGCAATTAGAAAATATATTCACGTTACAAAAAGACTATTTAAATATCCTAAATATTCAATGTATTTGTAAGAAAATTTTCCGGACAAGATTGCTCCTTTGTAGAAAATACGAAGATTGCCTATGCAAAAAAATGGTCAGGTTCTATAATTAATTTGGTTTCTCATTGCCAGATTTTAAAAAGTAATTTTATTGGATCTAACTCTACAAACATTTAACCTAAAAAAACCTCAATGTGCATAAAATATTTTTAACTATTTCAGAAATACTTCATAACACTTTTAATATTTGCCAGCATATACTTTTAATATTGGCATATTTAAATATATTTGAAAGAGAGGCTATCAAACTGCAAACCAGGTTAACTCAAACCCAAGTGATTAACTGCAAAATAATTTTATAATATAAAAACTACTAATGTTTACAATTTGTCTATGGGATGACAAACGCTTATAGGATTTAATAAAAAATATAGCTATTTCTAAACATTGCTTATAATCAATTTAAAAAGTTACTTTACTGTACAATTTGTTATAAAGAATGATAAAAAATCCTAAGTATTAGTCATAAATTAATGTTTATGATATTATTTGGCTTGTAAACCATAAATTCTATTAGTTATTAGTTGATACAAACAAGTAGAGAGCATAATGCACACCAGTCAGTTTATTATGCAAATGGCTTTCAACAACATTTAAGCACCACAGAATATTTTATCAAATAATCAAGTTCAATTAGTACCTTTTGAGTATCGGATTTTTCTGTGACAAGAGCATTCAGTTTCTCTTGCATCTCCAGTTGAGCCTGTTGAAGAGCTTCTTGCACAGCTGCTTCTTTCTCATTTTTTGCTTCTAAACTAGCTCTGGATAAGGCTAACTGAGCTTCCAGGCGACAAGCACTCAGAGCCTTAAGGGAGAGAAGAAAAAAATTCACCAATTGCAGTACAAAAATGAGTTTTAAACAGTTTAACTAAAATAAAAAGTGCAACATCCTAAGCATTTCTTCAAATGGGAGATAATATTGGTATGAGCTGATAAAAAGCATGCAGGGACTTAATTTAGATGTGCAATAAAAAGGACTTTAAAGGTAGCAGATAAAAAGTTAATAAACTATGAAACGTGACAAATGACTGAACGCTACATTTAAATTGTAATACAAATATGATTTAATCAGACGTGGCCAATTAGGACAGGTATGTGTTTTGACACTTAAGTGTTTTACATTATATGTTGCACATTGTTTGGTGTAGAATTCAGAAATGGCTACGCAAATGTTTTTTTTCTTCGCCAAATTCTCTCTTAACTTAGTAAGGACTTCATTGTAATAGAATTGGTTCGCTATTTGCTTTGAACCTTTATCAATCATGATATCATATATAAAGAAAAGAAAGCGAACTTTCAAGCGTTTTCTTATGCCTCAAACTTTTCTGTTCGCTGGTGGTAAGGAAGTCTACCAGGAAAAAAATAATTTTAAAAAAAAATTGGCATTTTATTGTATCAACTCAAACTGCGAAACATCACATGCTGTCAGAACAGTTGCATTTCTGTTCTCTTTTTGCATCTGTATGAGTTTTTTATGTTAATTTCACAGAAAGTTTTAACCATTTGCAAATCTTTGCACAAAAGTCATTTCGCATTGACAAATCGGGTGCTCTATTTCTACTTCCATTTAATAAAAAAATAAATTTAGTGTTTTCATTAATTAAGACAATTTCTTTTTCATCAACATAATGTTTTGATTCACAATTAATGAATAATAATAATATACCTGTTTTTTCTCTTCCTCCATTTGATTCCTGAGATCCTGTAATGCTGCCTCTCTGGTAGCAACACATTGATTTTTCACAGTTTCTACATGTTTTTGTAAATCTAGAATTTGACGTACTGCATTCTTTACCATCTATTGTAGCACAAATTAAAATTTAATAATAACTAATAAAATTTATGAGAACATAAATATTTAAAATACGTTACTAAAGAGTTTTTACAAAAGATAACTTTTTAAAATATTACAATTCAATATAAGTTATAGGTGATTTGTCAAAAACAAATACCAGATTCATGTTGTTTTAAACTAAAAATATTTACAAGGAATGCACAGAAATTTTAAGTAATAAAAATGTATTTTTTGTTGTTTAAAAAAGTTAATCAGCAAACTTTATATTACATTGAAGTATTTCATAAAGTTATTTCTACAAATAAATATACTATGTTTTTTTTTCTTTAAAAAAAAGGAAAGAAACAAGTTAAAGTATAATTTCTTAATTTCAAACAATATAAAATATGTAAGTCTCACCTGGATGAAAAAGGTCACTATCGACTTGACTGTGTTGTAAAAAAATCAAGTTTGAAAAATATTTGGAGACCATTCAGATATATCTTTTTAATTAAACGTATTTCTTTCCTTCCTTTTTAATAAGAATTTAAAATGAGCTCGAGTTCAGGTCTGACAGAAACCTTTAATAGATAGACCATAGAAATAAAGAATCACAAAGAAGGATCTAACTTTAAACTTAGTCCTGATCAAACTTGAATTTAAATGAATTATTATTTTATAAAATTCAAATGTGTGATTAGAGCCACTGAAATTTCAACAGCATAGATTTCAGTCATATCTCAGCAGGTAAAAAAATGCACATTGTTATGCAACAAAAAAAAGCTAATAAAATAAGTAATTACACAACAATATAAAACAAGGAAATAGCACTTAAACTTAATTTAAACCCAATAAAATCATTTAAGAACAATTTAGATAGTTAATTTAGGTACAATTTGAGCATTTACAAGAAAAAAATGTTGATAGTTAGTAAAAATGCCATTAAAATACTTGTAACATTTCAATTCCCTCTAAATTACTCTAGAATAGTTTCTTAACAGAGGAAAAGGTATCTACTTACTACTTAAAGGTATCTACTTACACTAGGTATCTACTTACTTCTTCTAATTGCCACCAATGCTTTTGTTCTGTTATATCTACTACACTTGACACTAATTTGGGTAGTTTGGATTCAGGCTTCACAATTACTGAATCTGAAATATCAAAGACAGTATAAAATCCAAAGAGAATACTTAGTATTGTGTTAACAAAGTTAAACAAATAAGTATAACACACAAATACCATTTACCATAAAAAATCAATTGCTAGTAAAATACAATTATTACAAAGTTAATAATAAGGCAGTAAATACTCATTTCTTAACTCAATAACATTTCTATAAAAACATAATACTCAGTAGCATCTATTACAAATAATATGATTATTGATAAAAATAGAACTCAAGATTAAATGAGTAAAGATAGTACTCTAACTTTTTTTAATAACCTAAATATTCAGTTACTCCTCAAGATTACCATTCTAATAAAAATAAATTCTTTTATATCATAAAAAATCAAAATTTATTTTTCATTTACTTTGCTGATACTTAAAAAAAAAAAAAAAAAAAAAAAAATGAAAAGCTTAACTGAATATTTTTTGCAGTGACCCTTGAATTCACAAAATACTTTTCATCACAATTTTTTTTATCTAATTGCAGTAGAATTTTAAATGTTTTATTGGAATATTAAATATATGAATCTAAAAATGTTTCTTAAATAATTTCTAATCTTCATTTTTAGACAATTTCTTGAACCCCCTAATCAGAAAGAGATTGTGTTTTCCTTTGGGCTCATATCATGTTTTGACTGTGCATATGATTTGCTGAACCAAAATAGTATCAATTGGCAACAGAGCGTTCTCTAATACTTAAATGGTTTTGTTGATAGATTTTTCCAATAAGCGGAAAATTTTTCGTAGCATTCTGTAATATTTTTTTTCTTTTTAATTTCTGTGTTAAATTATTTACATGCATTATTAACAAAAAATTAACTTTTGCATTTGATATGAAAACAGCATCATTATAAAATATTTTCCTTTAATTTTAAAAGGAAATAGAAGCAGATGTTATAAAAAACATTAAATTATTAATAGCCACTAATCTCTTGAATAATTAATAGCTACAAATATCAAAGGAGTGCCCAGACAAAAAAAAAATTTTTGAGGCATTAATTTAAAAGCTGAATTTTAGGTATCTTATTTGAAAAACATGCAATATCTATTGAAACTATCCATACACATACACATTATGTTTTGAAGTATTTAACTTTAACATTTTATTAACTGATACTGGTGAAATATTGATTACATTTTCTGCAAAATCCAATAAAATCTTTTCTCCATAAAATACACAGATAAGGGCAGTGGACCTAATCGTTAAAACTAATTAGCCATTTCCTTAAAATACAGCACAGAGTAAAAAAAAAATTTTTTTCGAATTTTTAGCCTTAAAAGCTTTTTTTTAGGCATGTAAACTGTGATGTAACAATGAACACAGCCAACCCTCGCATTATCAAAAGAAAGGGTACTCTATGAATCCAAAAATTACACTATGAATTTCTAAGACAGAACCTAAAACAACTTTCATGCAATTTATAAAAAAATTCTAAAAGTTCATATCATTCTGTTTGTGCAAAATAAAAAACATAGAAATTCAAAAAAATATTATTTGAATGTTAAAATCCAAAAGGAAGAACAGAAGAAGTTAAGATTGTCTTCCCTATGACAATTGGTTAAACAATAAGAGAACTTGTATTTATCATTCCTAAATTGATGATTTAATAACATGTAAAAGAATTAAATTTCAAGGTAAAAAATTTAAATACAGTAAAACCTCGTTAAGTCGACACTCAAGGGACCGAACATTTTCGACGACTTAAGCGGAGTGACGACTTAAGTGGAGTTAGAAATATCTTTAAAAAAACTAAAATAACATTGAAATTTTTTAATGGACTGCAATAGGATTCGTTGAGAAAAATTAGATTTTTAGAATGTAATGCACATGCAAATAAATGTGTAGAAAAGGAATACAAATACTTTTGTATAGTTACCACTTTTTATTTTTATTTCTGAGCATTAAAATAGCTTAACATAGTGGATTGATGCAGGAATTGTTGATTGCTGTTAACCTTCTTTTCCAATATCATCAGCGCCTTGAANGTTAAGATTGTCTTCCCTATGACAATTGGTTAAACAATAAGAGAATTTGTATTTATCATTCATAAATTGATGATTTAATAACATGTAAAAGAATTAAATTTCAAGGTAAAAAATTTAAATAATTTTTTTTTTCTTTACACAAAACAAAAAAATTATGTTTTTAGGTTTACTCCATATTTAATAATAATTTCATTTGTCAATTTTTGTCTAATTCTTAGGGGAAAAAATTTGTATAAAATTAAAAGAAATAGTGAAACAAATGACATAATAAAACAATGATATAATATAAATACAACAGGAAACCACAAATGTAATAAAAAATTATACCAGCACACACTGCATTTCCACTTTCTCTAGTAACAAGTGGCACTAAAAAAAATAAGAATATTTTTATTTAGTACACAATCTTTTTTCAAAAAAAGTTACTTTTCATATGAATAAAAGAAAAAAAAAGATCAGTTCAAAATTTAATAGGCATCGAGTAATTTAAATTAAATAGCACCACTCAGATAGGTTAAAATTTTGAAGAAGAAAATGGATTAAAATAAGTAAAACACTCTAAACTAATATTGTGCAATACATTTAAAAGCAGAATATAATGTAATAATGAAAGAGATGGATAACTTAAGCTTTCTTTTGCTATGTCATGATACAGTTTCACAAGCCCCTAATAATAACACAATTTCTCTGATGATATGTTATTTCAATATTGAATTAATTTAATTATTTGTCTCTCTTTGACACGCTTTTATGTTATAATTTCATACATGCACTATATAGTACAACGGAATAATCAAATTTTATCAACCATTTGAGAATTGGTCTAGAAACAAACATTATCATTTCTTGTTCAAAATCATATGCACATTGAATTGAAATACGGAGATTGGGACTAACAAGACTATTGTAAATGTATAAGTGCAAAGATATAATAATATGTATAAGTAACAAACATTCTCATTTCTTATTTAAATTCAAAAGAAAATTGAACAAAATAGAGCTTTGAATTGAAATAATGTGAGTGGAGCTAACAAGACTACTGTAAACATAAAAGTGCAAACAGATAATTTTTTTTTTTAATAAGTGAAAATTTTAAAATCACATTTACATTAAAAATTGTTACAGTAAATAAATAAATTTATTACCAGTGCAAATTGTAGTTCCAGTGTTACTGGTGACCATCGGAACTGTAAAGGAAAGAAAAAAGTATTTAAGAAATGTCATAATAAGAAGAATTATTTTCTAAAGAAAAAAAAAACGAAACAGGAAACTCTAATAATGTAACACTGTAATAAAAAAACATACACATCATAATAAATATATTAAAAATGAATTATCTCAAGGAACTGAATTGAAAAAGATATATTTGATGATTTCAAAACTTCATTCACTTCAAAAATATGAAGATGGTAATAAAAGTAGACTTATTTTGAGTGGTCAAAAAAAGACAAACACTCTCAAAACTCACCAAACGTGAATAAGGAAACAAAAGTGATTTTACCAGGACTATTGTAAATGTGTAGAACAAATAAAAATTTTGAAATCACACATTTTAAATGTGAAAAATCCCTTTTGTTTCCTTTTTTTTTGACTGGCAAAACTTTAGAATGGGCGTCAATTTTTGAGTGCTCAAAATATGTTGACTATTATTACCATCTACATATTTTTGCAGCAAATGAAGTTTTTAAATCATCAAATATATTATATAAACAAACATAAATAAATATCTTTAGGGTGGCAGAAATCAACAGTATATAATTGATTTTAAGTTAATAAATCTAAATATTACCAGCACAAATAGTAGTTCCATTATCCCTGGTAACCAAAGGAACTGGAAAATGAAACAAATCTAAGTGACTATTTTAATGCATATGTTCATATGCACTAATTTTAATATGTTTAATGGATTAATACCAAATTGTTCTCCTACAATTTAACAAAACCATAACATCATATATGATTTACTTTATCAATATAAGTCTTAAATTTTTTTTAAACATAAAATGAGAATTTGCTTTTAAAATTCTAATTTAATTTTATTTTAAAAATGTCTTATAACTCCTGTTTATCAACTTGAAAAATATTATTGAAATGTATACATCAGTAGATAATAATTTTTAATATAAACTTAAAATTATCAAAAAAAAAAGTTCTTTATTTAAAATAAAAATATTAAGTTTCGCAAAATTTTGCACATTTTTGAATAAATTAAATTTTTATTTACTTTTTTTTAGTTATAAAATTTTATAACTAAAAAAAATTATAACTATATTTTTATTATAAAAATTTTAGTTATTATATATAGCAGGGGTCTGTCTAGGTTTTTCTGAGAGATACCTATTTAGAGGATATTTAGACATAATTTGAGAAAATTAAAAATTATATTAAAAAACCAACACAATATGGTAAACATATGGATTTATCGTTTCTTACGGGATACAAAAATAAAATTTTAAGAAAAAGTATTTTGTGAAACTGCCGTTTTTCCTAAAGTTAAATTTGTGAAGGTAGCGCTAAACAGAAGAAAATTTGGCCTAGACAGCCACCTGTATAATATTTATTTTTTATTTAATACATGAAAACACATTACATGATAGCTCATGCATCAGTGAGAAAGAAACAGTTGACACTGAAGAAGTTTTCATAAAAAATCTCTCTTCTAATTTTCAAACTTATTCTAGTTTGGGTTGTAACTTGCTTACCAGTTTTTACTAATTTCAATTCAACAAAAATATACAAATTGAAAATAACAGTCAACATGTTTCAAGTACTACAAACAGGCACGCATTTTCAAGACGAAAATAAAAAGTTTATTTTTAGTTTTAAAACAAAAGCTTGTCTTTCCATTTTTCATTGGCAACTTAAAATTTCATATTTCTAATCACTTTTGCTTCTTCTCATTCACTTCAGGCAATTTTTGAAAATCAGTGTCTGTTTCCAAGGACTTGAAACATGACTATTACTTCTGATTTCCATATTTTTGAACCAAATGAAGTTTTTAATTTAGTAATATTTTACTGCTTCAGTGTTTAGGAATAATTTATTTAATTGTTTATTCTACATTCATCATTAATTAATTCATACTAAAACATACCTGTTCTTCACTTTTCATCTATGTATACAGCCAATTTGTTATTTTTAGTCCTTTTCATAATTCCATTATTTTCAAATATTTTTTAATTGAAAAAATATATCATCTTACATTTTTCATGTTCCTTTAAATTAAAATTTATATGAATTCAATTGAAAGAAAAAGACATGATCATTTTATTATGCACTTTGATACAAGTGTTGTAAATTGAATACTGTAAGTTAATGATATTAAATAATGCTAAAGTATAACATTTTCATATGTACTCATAAACAAATTCTATTAAACTCATTCCATTAATTTTAATTTAGAACATAAAGTATTTTTGAATCAAACCAAAAAAAAAAAAAATTAAAACTGGTTCAAACAAAAACAGAAAAATGAGTTTTTCAGTTTTAGTGAAGAAAAAAAAGTTTTTTTTTCCAACCCTGATTTTATATGATGTTTATATACCTGTTAATCCACTAACAACAGATTCAGGTGTCAAACTAGTTGAAGTAATATCATCAGTGTGAAGTTCTGCTGGAGCAGATACAATATCTAAAATTATGAAAAATAGAATTTCAACATACAATATCTAACATTAGGAAAAATAGAATTTCAACATACAATATCTAAAATTATGAAAAATGGAATTTAAACATGATTGAATAACAGCTAAAAATTATTTTGAGTAGTTTAATGCACAAAAAATGAGACTAGTTTTTCATTAGCAATAATAAAGCACATACTTACTGTCACTAGTAGGCAGTGCGACGTTTGTTTCAACTTTTAACCTTGGATGTTGGCGTTTCCTCCTTTTATAAGGCGTGAAAAGTCTCACTGGTCCACTCTATCAAAACGAAAAAATATATGGAAATCAAGGCAAATTAATGGAATTATTTTTCAGAATTATAGATTTTTTTAATCTATAATTATGAATTGAATAATTTAATTAATTTCTTAGTAATTTTGAAAGATTTAAGACAACTTAAGATAGTAAATCCAACAAGGTTAACACACAGCCTAATGTTTGCAGTTGAATATGTGGCTTGAATTTACTCAATTCTTTTTACGTAAATATCAACAAACTACTTTTTAGTTTCAGACTTTGAAAGTTTTTTACAGTTTAGAAAATGTCTGGAAAGGTCAACAAAAAAAATTCCTTATCAAAGAAACCTAATGGATAGCAGAATCTTTTTTTTTCCATTTTCCATTAAATTTCTCTCAAAAATATTTAGCCATTTCCACCCTTCTTTCCCAAATTTGAGATAAAAAATAATCAGCCCATGGCGTGACAATTTGTAATCTGTGTAAAATCTAATATGCCTTTAAAAAAATCAAAACAGAAGGTTCAAAGATATTTCCCATTTGTACGGATGGTATCTTCAATATAAATGTAAACAATAACAATCTCAAGCTCAATACCTGCTCTAGTTCCCTTTTGAAAGTTTGCAACAGCTTACTACCGCTTATTCTGCAAGGCGATATTTTCAAACGGATAATTTTGTTTTAAATAAAAGTAAATTAGATAATTTCTGAGCTCAAATTTGCCGTATTTCATAAGATATTAATGTTATTAAGTAATTCTGGTGAGTTTTAAGTGAAAATTTGTTTTAGTTGCTTATAGATACATTGTTAAAAAAGGTTTCATGGTTGCTAGATTTTGAATAACTTGCTTTTTTGGTAGTCCTGATTTGCCTCTTTAAAATTTGTTTATTACTGTTTGTTCCTGTTTCAAGCTGTGCACCATCTTATCTTAGTGTTAGCACCTTTAGCATTGTAAACACAAGTAATAAGTAATCAAATACCACGTTTGCAAGAATCTCAAAACACAATGATCACGTTGTAAGCCAAATGACTTTAAAATACACGGGAAACAGTAACCCAGAAGTATAGGCGGTATGGAGCTTGCAGCGTTCCCTAGTGTAGAAAACACCATCCTTTGCTGACTGGCAGCAAGTTTTGCTAATCACTCTATATGTATGTAATATTACAATGTATATGCATTTGCAATATGTGAAATAAGTAGGATATAGCAAAATTCATCTAGTAAAGTATGTTTAGTTCAAAAGGTGATTTTTAATGGCCAGGCATATAAATTAAAAACAGGTTACAGTATAAAAATTTCTTGTAACCGATAAAATATTTTGAAAGGTAAAAAATTTTGTAAAACAGAATGATCCATAAAAGAGCACCTTAAATTTAAGAATTTAATTGAAAAAATTTCTAAATATTATCAGAATCAAAATTGAAATAAGTATCAGCATTTATAATTTTATTTATTGATTGACATTTAAAATGAACAATTTACATCCGACACCAAGATGAAATAATTTCAAATTAATTATAGGTATTATATGTTTTAAAAACTGTATAGATTATTTTATTTAAATGTAAGCTACAAAATTTAATTTGATTTAAAATTCTAAACAAATTCACAGAATGTAAAGGATACATAACCAAGTAATCATGTTTAAATTATGTGTGATTTACATCCAACACCACAGTTTAATCCATTTAATATGTAGGTATTTATTATTATCAGATTGTAAAATTAAAGTATTTTTTGATAGAATATAGTAACTATGTAGTATTTTAAATACAAATTTAATACTTTTTTTAGTTCAATTTATAGTTCATAAAAGAAATTGTTCTAAGAAATTTTAGTTCGTTTATTACATGTGTGGCAATTCTATGGTGTACCCATAGAATTGTCCAATCACAGATTTAGTAAATATGTATTTTATACACATTTTATGCTTAGGGTAAAACTGTAGTTGAATACCACTTCAGATGACATTTTAAAAGTTGCCAATTTGGCATTTCTTTGAGAACTTTTCTCAAGTTCACATTTGAAATCAAAATAACTGTATAAAATAAATTAGCAGCATTTTAAATTAGAAAATTAACAAATAATTACAATAAAATTGTCACAAATCAAAAGAACTTAAGAAAATAAATAAAGATTTTAAATTAAAACTGAATAAAACAAATAAATTTTGAATTTGAAAAGGAAACTTTACTTGTCTATCATGCAGGTAGATCTTTATTAAATTAGAAAATTAGTAAATAATTAATAATAAGAACATTTTTGCAAGTCAAAATAGCTAAACAAAAGAAATGAATCGAAAGAAGAAGAAAAATTTCACCCAGGGTGGGATTAAACTACAATTCAACCATGCTCTGAAGTTAAGGTTAATGAAGACATAAAAACTATATTCAACTATTATAATGAGACAAAATTAAACAGATACTAACAGACACATCTGGTGAGCCATCCCCATATAAATTATCATCACAACAGTTGCCACAAGTACAAGTTGTTGCATGTGGCCGAAGAATGCCTTGTTCAATTAAGCACTGTAAAGTACGACCGCCGTAACGAATGCTACGTTTCCAGTCTTTGCTATTTCCACGGCCACCTAATGTCTCAAACTCTGAAGGAGTAACCCATGAACCATTCACCGAAATGCAACGTCCTCTGCTACCTGAAATAAAGAACATAATAGCTTTTCTTATGAACTTAAATAATGTTCTGCAAAACCAGGGTAGGCAAGTTTCTGTCAATTGATGGTTTCAACCATAGTTTAGCATTCAACCATCATCTTATAAATAAATACATAATCAACTTAGTCATTATATGCAAAATAAATTTTTATTTACTCGCATTTTAACTCCTCTTTTCTCTATAGTATGTGCTTGCAAAAAAAAAAATAGTTTTGAAGTCCTCTGTACTCAATAGTATATTTTTGAATTTTGTATCAATAAGACTGAAATTCAAAATTACTCTTTTTTTATTGATGATGAGCTGTATGGACTAGAATATATACCTACTAAGACTATCATAAAAGAATAAAATAACATGTAGTTAGTAAATTTGTTCTAAATTAATAGCCTGAAAATTTAAATTTTCAAGTAGAAGCCAGCGGCAGGGAGTAACAGGAAAGTAGTAATTTAGTAGCCCCTTTTTTCCTCCAACCTAATGAGCTGGTGACCGATACTGATAGGACCTTTTCCTTTAATAGCCTCTTTTTATTTTTATTTATTTATTTATTTTTATTTACTTATTTTTATTTTTTTGCTCGGATTTAATTAAACAGTAATTTAAGTTAATTCAACAATAAAAATAGCATAAATATGTGAAAAAATTCACTCCTAAACTTAAATTATAACTAATAAATACACAGAATGACTATGTTTTTAATAGGAAAATTTTTTTGAAAAGCACCATATTTTTTTAACAAAAAATTTTTTAGAAATTTTATCGGACCTATCATTCCCCCAGGGTTGCCTGAATTTCCCCAAAATCCTTCTTCTTGATATCAAACATATTCTGCTTCCCTGCATAAAAGAACAAATATTGAGAATCAAACAAAACATTTTCTAAGAGCTTAGACAATTATTGGCAATTACTTTAGTTTTGCTTAATCTAAGAAATCTGTCTAAATTATGACATGAAAGAATTAAAATCAATATTTAGATTTATAATAATTAACAACTCATAGTTATTACCTACAATATAAACTGTATAGTTCTAATGTAGCAAATAATACTGATCTTAGAGTATTAGGAGTTAATGTTTTTATAAATTATGTTTGCTGACCGGAGTGTGATGGGGTCAAGGAACTGGCCTTGCAATAGAAAGATTCTCGGTTCGAATCCTGGGCCAGGCATGGATATTCTTTCATTCTCTGCACTATCTGTCAATTTCTAACGTCGGCCACCTAATATGGTGGCCCTGAAAGAGTGGCCAACAAATCTGCCCGGGAAATGCTTGGATTGACGAAATGTTAACACAAGTGGGCATTGGAAACAAAAATAAAACATGTTTTAATAAAAACTAATTAATAGTTTCAATAATTCTGGCTATATTTTTTATAGATAATATAAAATTAAAAATCATAATTATGGCAATATATAATGCAATTATTGTCCATGATTTACTATCATATAAAATGTCCCCAATGACAATAAAAACTTATTCCAGGTTTTTGACGTGTCATGTCAAAAACCAGTTTTTAACATCAAAAACCCAACCCTGCAGGAAACCTAGGGTTCCATAGAAAGATCACAGGAGCTCCAAGAGCTCTGAACATTTTTCTAACAGCAATTATATTTATATCAACAGAATAATCCAAACTTTGTTTAATATTTCAACTGCTTAGATAAAATTATCTATGCTACATAATTTCATTTGAGCAATTATGTTTGGAAAAAAGAAGTACAGTAGAACTCCAATTATCCGAACTCCAACTATCCGAATCGTTGATTATCCGAATCGCTTTTAGAATTCCTATGGAAATATGAAAATATAGTAAAAAGATAAGTTTCTCTTTTTTTTCCTTTTTTTATATGAATAAAATAAAATTTTAGTAAAGCCAGGGAAAGATTTATGCAGAGAAAGTTTACAGGATAGGACAAAGATTTGTGGAAAAGCTAAGATCTTTGCTGAAAAGCTGTATTATTTATCTTTCAAAGCAAGTAACGGCTGGCTAAGGAATTTTAAGTATAGGCACGGTATTCGTGAACTAGATTTAAGTGGTGAAAAGTTATCTGCAGACTCCAAAGCTTCTGACGAGTTTATTGAAAAATGTAAAGTTATAGCAGCCTCATACGATTCCGACTTCTTATACAACGCCGATGAGTCTGGTCTAATATGGAAAGCTTTACCCAAAACCACTTTAGCCTCTAAAAGAGAGTGCAGTGCCAAAGCCTCCTAGTGCTCCAGGGCATAAAGCTAGTAAAGACCGCGTTACTGTGCTTAACTGCGCGAACTCAACTGGGAGCCATAAAATACCCCTTTTGTTAATAGGGAAGTCAAAACGCCCAAGAGCATTTAAAAATGTCAAAAAACTTCCCCTATTTTATAAAAACCAATACAAAGCTTGGATGACTGCAGCACTGTTTACAGAGTGGTACGATGAAATTTTCATTCCTGAAGTGAAAAAACGCCAAAAATCTGTTGGAAGTCCTGTGTTTTTGATTGTCGATAATGCACCAACTCATCCCACAGAAGAATTGTTGAAATCCTTAAGAATCCTTGAAATCCTTAAGAATCCTTAGAAGAAATCCTTAAAAACATTTTTTCCCCTCGTTTCCACTATACATACAGTAATTAATTAAAATAAGCATTTTTTTTTTTTAAAATCCAATTATCCGAATTTTTGATTACCCAAACGGGGTACGGTCCTAATTGATTCGGATAATTGGAGTTCTACTGTACCAAAATTTAGAAAACAAATATGGCTTCAATAATAATTCATTGAATAAATTATGAAAAGAATATGCACATATAAAAAATTCCATAAGTATTGCTCATAGAACTTTTCAAAATATAATGATCAAAATCAAGAATTAAGAAGTTTCTCTGTTAACTATTCTCGACATTTATAACAGCGAAAATCATAATTTAACTTATTTTATACATTTTCTGCATATATGCATAAACCAAGAACTTAATTAGCATTTAAATTATTTCATTCTTTGAATCAAATGTTTACAAAATAATTAGTCAGTCTTTTTTTTTCTTCCTTTCTTTTTTTTTATAGTCACTGCTGCTAATGAATTTCATAATAAAGTCGAGTTTTTGCAAAAGAAAGCTCTATCATTTAGAGTTCAATAGCCAAAAAGAATTGTGAAACACTGTCTTAACTGATTAATTAAAGAAATAAAAAGCTGTTAATATTAAGTAAAATGCTAATGACATTGATAAACTTAGCTGAATGATTTTTCAGCCTGATTAATACAGGATCTGAACATTTTAATCAGCTCAAATTAAATTAACCGCCATTTTATAGGAAATCTCTGAATAAAATCAATTTATTTTTCTCAGAAAAAATCTTTGAATTAAAAATTTTCAAAACATTTTAATATAGAAGTATCTAATTTTGGTTATTTTTAGATTAATTTTCATAGATTTAAAACTTATTCTGAAGACATTGTGGTGTAAATAGATTTCAATTAGCAAAAATTACATTATTTGCTATGAAATAAATAAATTTCATTACTTTGGGAATGACATTTCAAAAATTTACGTATTATTTTCAAAATGCAAATGAAGATAGAAAAGTAACTCACTTATATAGTTTAAACCAACTTATATAGTAAAAATATATTATATAAGTACCTACTTATACAGTTTACATGAAGAAGAGAAAAAAACATCTCAGTATTGATTTAAAATAAAGTTATAAGCTTTTTGTAAAATATTCTATAATACATGGCCATATCATTAACTAAGATATAAAATACTTACAACAATTCTAAGGTTAATTTATCATTTATTTTACTTCTTGAAAAGCAAATTATGAAAAACAAAAACTCTGTAAAAAGTCGCGATGATTTAAAAATACTTAAAACAAAAGCACTATAAAAACAATTAAAAACATATCAGTTTTAACAAATTTCTTCAAAGATTAATTCTTTCCTTTTCTTGAATTTCATGGTCTCTTCTTTTTCTTAACTCAAAGCTAATCTAAACACTATATTTTATTCGTGAATATCATATCATATAATTATAAAGATATCATATAATTATGAATCGAAGATATTCATGTCAAAAAGAATTATTCTTTTCTTAAATTTCACAAAATAATTTCTTTTTTCATTCAAAACTAATGAACACACTAAATATTTTATTGGTGCAGATCGAAATATTTAGTATCATAGGATAAATAATTTCATACTATAATTATTCATGAAAGATATTCATGTCAATAGGAACCAGACTCCCTTCAAATTTCATAAAACATTATTCTTTTTTCTTCATAATTAAAATCTAAAATTTTATTGAATATTTTGATGTAGTAAGAGTAGATTTCATGTTATAAAATACACACAGAAGATATTATTTTAACTAACCTGATCCAAACTTATTTTTATGAAGTTCTCCACGAACAGTCCGACACCTGACCGGTAATACAGGATCGTATACAGATGGGTCAAAGTTTATAGTATTTTTTTCAGGTACAGATAAACTCCGATTTAAAGAGTTAAATGTTATTGTCGGTTGACTGTTCTTTAACACATCCAAGGAAGCTGGACTATGTATTATAATACGAGTTGTTTTAAGTGGATCTTGGTCTAACAATATATTGTCAGTGGCACTGGTGACCAAAACATTGGGAGGCATGCGGATTTCGTTGACAGTTACCAGCTGCTGGCGATCGGCATCCTCCGATTCGGAAATTCCCGATATAGCACTAACGACATCGTCCGAGCGGTCGTTCGGTATATCTTCGTCTGTCAAACCTAAATCCATTGGATCTACCATAATAAACAGATGGAACTTTGAAATTTACCTAAGACAACACATTATTTAAGGCATGCCTGATATATATTGCTCGAACTGATGCAATCCGAAACCTGATACCATGCAAACGTAGGGTAACAATATGGCGCCCTTTTCTTATGACGTCAAGCTACGTCATAGTTTGTTCCTGACCTTTTAATGCATAAAGGGCTTCCCCACACGATGTTGAAGGACGTAAATAAACAATATCTAGTTTACCTGTCTAGCGTAGGGGTCGAAATTGTCTTAAAAATTAGGTCATTCCCTTTTTTTTTTTTTTTTTTCAAATGAAAGTGGGAATTGATTACTGTAAACTACTAACCAACTAAAAAAAAGAAAAGAAAACTTTAAGGAAGCATATACAGTTGTGTAATATACTATGTTGAAAGGGAAAAAGAAAATATGTATATCTTTTTTTATAAATTTTAAAAGAAATTAGAATTAGTATGTAATATGCGACAAAACAATTCATAAAAACAGATTCTGCCATTATTTTATTATTACAAAAATATTTTTAAAATTTTTTTTCCCTTAAGTAATGTTTTGGTTTTCAAAAAGCCCAATTTTAAAAATTTAAATCAAGTTAATAAGTTATTTAAACATATTATGTTCTAACTCGTTACTTTCTAAAAGCCTGGGAATGGGGAATTTTTCGATGGTGATTAAAGTTCTTACGAAAACAATGAGCCTTACAGTATCCGTTTTAGGCCTGATAAATAATCTAAGCTTTCTTTTTTTAGCTAAATTTAAAAATGAAGTCCTTAAATTTCTTATTTTATTTTATGACTTTTCTCTTTTTTTTGTTTAGTGTATCTGCTAGTTTGTTAATGTCGAAAAATAGTCAAAATTTAGAATCATATTAAAAAGAAGGAAAATTTTGCTTGCACTACTTAGAAAAGTGTAACTTATATCGGCATCAAAACCACAGTTCCATTAGAAATTTGAGCACTCTAGACAATCGGAAAGTGCATAGATGTCAACCCGGAAGATCTTGCTCCCCACAATATTTAAAATGGTAGCGAAATAAAATAACATATAAGATAAGCTAATTTTATTTAAATTTACCAGCATTAAAAATCTTCCCCGCTAGCTCTTTTAAGTGTTAGTATATTGTGGTAGGCAAAATAACATTTAAATTAAATCTATTAAACCAGAAATAAATTGAGTATAAAATTACAACCACTAATTATATTTATTATTCAAAGAGAAAAAAATCTCCTTTAAAAAGGGTAGTTGCCATGTATGAAAGCGGTTGAAATTTTAATTATAATATAAACTATATTTGTCTGCATAAGGGGATTCCCAAACTAATAAAATTTGTATTGTCATCCAGATTGTGCTGGTAGATCATGCTCTCAACGTGATGGGATTGGAAGGTTGTGGTGTTTTCTGAAGAACGAACAATTCAGATGGGTTCAGTAGGCAATTGAACAGTTTGACCGAAGCTGTCTTCCTGAAACCTTCCGAGCTCGTCAATCGTAAAAAAAGTAGTTTTCCATTACGACTAAGCGAGACTACACACATCTTTGGCCTTTGGCGTCCCTTCAAAAGTTATTGGAGCTTAGACGGGATATGTTGCCCCACTCCCCATATTGTCCTGATCTTGAATTTCATTCTTTCTCCTCTTCCAAACTCCTTACGTGAAATAACGTTAAATTCGGGGGAGGCTACGAATCAGTACCTTGTTCCGTTTCTCGCAAATAAAGACAAGTCCTTCAACGAACGAGAATTATGAAACTCACCAAACGAATGCAAAAGGGAAAATATATGATTGGTTAACCTTTACATAAATATGTAACTTTGAAAAATTTAGAAAAAAACGCAATTAGTATTTTCTCAAGCAAATAGAAAAAAGTATTAACTTCCTCTCCTCATTTTTTATTTTATTTTAGAACCTTCGTTGAACAGAGGGCCCAATTTTGTGCTTACTACTACCAATGTTCAACTCCGAAACCTTATAATTTTGAACAAAATCTAGAAGACAAAGGAACTCCTTGATCAAGTATTGGGGAAAATTTATTCTTGTGGAGGAATAGACACAAGAAATTACACACGTTAAACTCTCACGTGTTTAAACTTTTTGAAGGAATTAACCCGCACTTGCGTTACATGGAGAAGAAAACCTCCCACGGTTAGCCTGACAGTAAATTGACTCTAACCCATGATCCCTCAACCACTGAGGCTATTTTACGTCAGCACTGCGGTAGGTAAGAGCCGTGCATGGAAGTCGTATTGACCAGCCATCGCTGGGATTCGAACCCGGGTTACTTCTTTACTGGGAGGCGAGCACTCTTTCCTCTGAGTCACTACAGCTCCCTCTCCTCATTTGTGTCAATCCGAATTTTGCACGGGTAAAAATAACTAAACTTTAAAAATAAAAAAATAAAAAAAAAATAAAAAGATTCGAGCCTTATCTTTCAAATCATGCCAACAGTTCTGTCATGTAAAAATTTCCAAAACATTTGCTACTAAACGAAAGATTGTTTATATAATGTTAGTATATTTCCATATTTATACCCAACCACTGTGTCTCAATAGTTTATAATTAAACGTAAAAGTAAGAAACGAAACTTGTTAGTCAGTTTTTTCTTTCAGCATTGGATCGTTAGATAAAAGAATTTATCTATCGATCCAATGCTGAAGATTTTCAAAATTAAATATGCTGTGTTTCATGGGTTGTAGCTTAATGAAATATACTGAATGACTCGATGTCATTTTATTATAAATTTTCAGAACAACAATGAATCAGAATAAGCAGCTAAGAAAATAACGGCAAAGGAAGTTATGATTTTATTTCCTGTTTAAACACGTGAGAGTAAGCGAAGATTTTGCGAACGATTTACGTGTATAAATAAAATATGTGATACCATAATAGAATTTTTTTGGCACATTTAACGATTAATTCTTACATATGTTTATTTAATAACGAATTAAAAATAAATATTAAAAAAAAATTCTAGCTTCCGGCTGACTGGGAAAATAACACATATAATGAAAACGGTAAAGAAAGATAGAAAAGAGAAACTTTTAATATTTATTAAGTTTTATAACCTACGTGCAAACTGCAAGTACATAAAAAATCACAAGGAACACAAGAACAGAACACAAAACGAAAAATGAATTTTAAATTACAAAAAAAAAGAATAGAAATTATTAACATGATTTAAAAACTTTAAAAATTAACTAAATAAACGGTGCAAAATTAACAACAACAAATAAATATATATACAGTCCTGTCAACTATTACGCTTTTTGCAAAATATTTTATATATAAGTCCAGCAGTGGACTGATCGTTAAGACACGGTTCCCAGCAGATCACCGAAGTCAAGCATCACTGGCTGCGGTCAGTGTGCGAGTGGGTGACCACTTGGATCAGTCTGCGTAGGGACCGAGGGTGTGCGTTATTGGTTTCGTTAAACTGAGCTACTATGAAGTGCTCGACTTCGCGTGCAGGTCGTCGGGCTACCGAGGCGGGGGTGCCATCCCCTCTGCAGAGGATCAAAATTGTGAAGGCATGTCATCCTCAGGGATGTTTCCCAGACCGTCGCCAATAGCCCATTGTGCAGCTCTAGTGTGACGTAAATGAACTTCAACTACAGCAGCAAAATATTTTATAGTGTGGTAGACATTCAAAAACCAAAGCTTTCAGAATTTTGGGTAATTTTGCAAACACATTTTATTTATGAATAATATCATTAATTGTAGTAATAAATCAATGAATTTAAGTCTTGTAGCTAAATTATAGTCAGTGGTTACCGGTTCCAAAAGTTTCCGCCAAAATTATTAATTTAAGTTCCAGGTGTAAAAATAATTCTACTTAAGTTAATAAATATTTCCAACAAATAGTGAAGGACAGCAATTTTTTTAAGAATTTTATTGGGCATTGCGATATTATCATGAATGTTGATCTGTTAATTTGGAAAGAAAAAAAAACATTAACTAATATAAAAATGAGGTAAATTAGTTAATCATTAAAATATCGCGATGTATATTTCCTGACAGTATTTAGCGATATTATAATTTCAATATCAATTAGTCTTAATCTATTAATTTCTAGCTCCTGCATGTGCGGAATTTCTGTAGTTTCAAAAAAAAAATAATAAGCTCATGAGAAAACTGTTTGAAAACCGTAAATTTCAGGTAGAAAAATGAACTGTGTTTCCATCTTTTTTGAGATTCTTCTCTCATAGAAGGCGGCAAACAACGCCATCTATGTTGAAGATCAGAAAAAGACAGGAAGAAGGGGATGAAGAAACAATTCCGAAATTCATTAATCCGTTGGACACGGATTCATAAGTTTCTGTTTTGGATTGTATCACAGCCGTTAACACAGAAGTAAAAAAGCACGATCGGGTGGAAAATTCAACTGGTGAGTTTTTCTTCTTTTTTTTCTTCTATTATTTCAATTAACAATCAATTTATTATTTTAAGAAAAGTTTGAGATTGAAGATAATTTCATTGGTGCAGATTTTATCATAGAATAATTTTTTTTATTTAATTTATATAAAAAGTTATTTTATTTGTTATATTACGTTGTTCATTAGTTATTTTAAGTTATGACTGATATATGGTTATTTTTATTGCATAAAATGCGAAAAAACTGCGGTCGAACGCTAAAAAAAATAGTGAAGCAACATATAAGATGTAAAAAAAATGAATAAAACTATATTTATTATTACCGAAGTTATTAATGAAAACATTTTTAGAAAAAAAAATAAAATACAGAATTTGTTTCACGTAAAATGTTAAGCATTTAGTTAATATATTAAATAAAGTATAAAGAAATAAAGTAGATTTTGATTTTTTAGGTAAAATAATATTTAAAAGTGTTATAATCAAGAAATAAAGGGGCGGTTAGGATTTTCAAATAAAATAAAAATTTATAGTTTTTTAGTGACGAAATATAGTGCAGATTATGTTTTTCTCAAGTAAAATGCATTTGTTCAAAACAATTATACTATTTTTAAGGCATTATGTATTTCATTACGAGTTAAACTTTTTTTTTTTTTTAATTTCAAATTGAGCTTAAAAATGCTCGAATTTATTTCTAAGGATCACTTTGAATATGTAAACAGTGATAAAAAAAACATTCAACAATTTTTTTATTGTTATCAGTAGATATAAATCTAGTGTATGACCGAATCTTTATATCCGCCATAATTTATAAATTACATATTTATAATTTCTATATAT